TTCATACTATAATCATGATTATGATCAGAATTTCTATTAAGATATAATGGAAAATTCATAGCTCTGTGATCAAAAATTTCTTTAATGCTCTTGATAGTTTGTCTACTACTAAACTGAAAATAAACTTGTTCATAGAATTGACTATTATCAGTTAATTCATATTGACCACTACAATATGATAAACCTGATTTAGATAGCTCATCAAATTCTTCTTGTATTCTTAGAAGTACACGTTTACACTATTGATTTTTTTCTATACAATAAGAACAGATGATATCATTACATTCATGAAGCTTACAACAATTATCACAATTATCTTCTTTATATCTCCAATGATCAATTCTACAAAGAAAACATGTTAGAATTTTTCTTGTTTTTTTATATTCATCTTCTCATTTTTCTTTTTCTTTTTTAGTCAAATTCTTTTTACATTTGAATTTTTTGATACAAGGTATACAATAGTATACTGTTGACATATTATGTACGAATTGATGTTTATCCATTTTGAATATTTTTATATTTTTATCAATTTTTCAAAAAAATACCAAGGTCAAAAATACATTCTTTTATACTTTATTTTAAATTACTAAATTTGGAAATTATATTTTTTTTACGCATTAATTTTATTATTATATTTTCTACTTACATGTATTTATCAATTATATATTTTAAAATAATCTATTTTACGTGAATTAAAATTTTTAAAATAATATATTTTACGCAATTTTAATATACACATATTTTATAAATTATATAATTAAAGTTTTTAAAATAATATATTTTACATGATTTTAATATACGCGTATTTTATAAATTATATAATTAAAGTTTTTAAAATAATATATTTTACGCGATTTTAATATATACGTATTTTATAAATTATATAATTAAAATGTTTAAATAAAAAATTATAAAACTACAATAGGACTAGACTGAACAGACTTTTTAATATTTCTAAAAATTATTAATAGTTGATTGTTTATTTTATATTTAATAAAAATATATAAAGAGTTTACTTCTCGATTAAAATATTTTAAAAAAAAATGAATTCAACATTACATATATCAAATTTTACAAATAAATATATTCAAGTTCAAGTTAAACAAAATGATCAAAACTTACCTATTAAATGTAAATCTATAGATAATATAGATATTCTACATCTATTTCCAAACAATACTCTTGATAAAACTAAAGAATATAATATTTTTTATAACGATAATTTATTATATAATATCAAACCAATTAAATATTTTAGAACTATTAATTATACATTTTGGAAATGTATAGCTTACAATAAACAAGTATATTTGGGATTAAGTGAACTTGCTAAAAAAATAAATATTCCAGATAATATAACATGTATTTATGAGCAAAATGATAAATATATAAAAATTCAAAAAACAAATCTATATGAAGATGAATGTTTTAATATTAGTAATATTGGAATATATAATTTTTTAATCGATAACAGGATTTTTAAAACAGTAAGAATAAATTCAGAACAAGAAATTACTTTTGTTGATAATGAAAATATAAAAAAAGATTATTTGATTACTCGATTTTATGATTAAATATTTTTTTATATAATTTTTTTGAATAGTGTTAAACTTTAATTATTATATATTTTTACTTAATATTTTTTTATATAAATAAACATATATTTCTTTATTTAATATTTAAAATGAACTGGCAACAAAAATTTGAAAATTTTGAGATCATTACAGATTAGGAAAAATATAAGAATTTTAATAAACCAAAACTTAAATTAAATGAATATCGATTCATAAAAATCGATTACAAACTATATCTCGAAGTTAAGACTCAAAAACATAAGATCACATTTCTCACAGATCTTAAATATTTTAAATTGATTAAAAATCATACATGGTATGCTCATAAACTAAGTAATATATATTATATCAAGACAGTAATTAGAAAAGATAATAAAAAGATAACTTTAAGTTTTCATCAATTGCTACATCTTGAATGGAAGATGATCGATCATATTAATAGAGAAGGTTGTGATAATAGAGAATCAATCTTAGAGAAACAAATTATAAAGAGAATGCTTTAAATTGTAGATTACGTAAACATAATACTAGTGGTTTTAATGAAATTATTTTTGCAAATAAGATTAAAGGAAATTATATTTTTTTTACATGTTAATTTTATTTTCTACTTACACATATTTATTAATTATATATTTTAAAATAATCTATTTTATGCGAATTAAAATTTTTAAAATAATATATTTTATATGATTCTAATATACGCATATTTTATAAATTAAAATTTTTAAAATAATATATTTTACGTGATTCTAATATACGCGTATTTTATAAATTATATAATTAAAATTTTTAAAATAATATATTTTATATGATTCTAATATACACATATTTTATAAATTATATTAAAGTTTATAATTTTAATAAATGACTGAATTTGATATTTATCTATTAAATGAAACTAACGCTACATTTTTTTTACAGGTTAAATTTATTATTATATTTTTTTTACTTTTATAAATAAATTCGAACAAATAATGAAATTAATAAAATAAATTATTATATACAATATTTAATTGTTCATTTTTATCTTTTAAATATTTAAGTAACAAAATTCTTT